CGTATTTACATTTTTAATTTTTTTATATTATATATAAATATATATATAACAATAATTATATATATATATATTTAATCAGTATCAGTCTAGGTGTAATTTGATATTAATATATATATATAATTATATATATATATATATATATATATATATATTAATAGTAAAATACACCTAGAGAGTGTATGTATGTCTGTGTATGTATATATATATATACTTAGATCATATATATATATATATAGTATATATATATGATCTAAGTATACTTTTTTTTTTTTACACTTTTTAATTTATTTTATTTTTATTTTCAGCCAGCAGGGGGACCACCTGTCATTACAGGCAGCCCCCCTGCTGGCCATGCAGGAGGCAGCCTAACCGGCCATGTGATTGTGAGGTCCTCGCAAGGACCTACTCTCACATGGCCGGGGGGGACCGGAGGAGGAGGATCTGCCGCGGGGGGGCTCCCTGGGAGTCCCCCCCACCGCGATTGCCGGCGTGGGACCGCCGGCGTCCGGGTAAGTAATGAAAGACCAGAGGGCGTACAATTACGCCCGGCGGCGTTTAGAGCCACCTAAAATAGGGCGTAATTGTACGCCCTCCGGTCTTAAGGGGTTAATGGATAAGACTGTAGTGCTCCTCTGTTTGGAATCACAGGCAATTTTATATGTAATAATGCACTTTCTCAGTTCATGAGAAGCTGCTGTAGTAACTCTGTCAGAGCGTTGGCCCACTCTCTTTCTATTTGCTGCAAAGATTTCCTATGGATTCTTTAGAGCCTGACTCCTTGCATGTCAGTTCAGATGGAAGCAGGGGACTCACTCTGACACCATGTTTTATCTTGTTTATATAAGGAGATCAAGCACATGTCTTCATAACTGTAAACTTTATTAGGAATGACCACCCACACTCCCACAATGCAAGAGCCACTTCCTGACTGTACCATTGTGCACATAACAACATGTTAGATATGGTTCATATCAACTAATAATCTCAATATTACACACCAGCAGTAGATCTAGACAGGTAATTGTAAAATACTAGAGTGTGTTGCTCGAAGGCCAGAGAGGGTGAGTTCCTGATCGCTGCCATAACTGCCGTCTTGTCTATATGCGTGACAAATTGGACTATGACATCACTGGAGGTCTGCTGTGGTGGCTGGCCCTGCATGCGGATTCTGTAGATGTTGTCTATAAGTGTGGGGTAGTAAGTGCTGTAACAGGCTTCTCAGGAAGTGTGGTAGCCCCGTCTGATCCACTGTGTTAGGGATGCCTTTGATTTTAATATTTTTGCGGCAGCTTCAGTCCTCAATCTCTGCCATCCTCTGTGCCATGTTTGCATGGGATATCTTGATCTGCTTGTGGTCTGCAGCAATTGAGGCCTGTTTAGCCTTGAGGTGAGAGGAGTTTTCCTCCGTGGCCTTAACACTACCTGTGAGTGTGAACATGTTCTCCCGCAAAATTGATAGGTCGGCTTGGAACATGGTGCATATATCTCGTAGTATTGTTTTAATATCACCCTTTGTGGCTGGTGTATTGGCTTCCTCATCCGAGCATTCGAGGTACAGACCATAGAGGGTTCCTACTCAGACGAAGAGTCCTTTGCTTGTTGCTCCGCCATTATAGGCGCTGCACGCAGTAGGCCTCCATGCATGAAATTGCCTATATTTCAGGATCTGGAGCCCATAAGAGCTTTATTCTTCTTGGCCCATTTTCCCATTGCAGTATAGAGATGGAAAAAAAGCTTTTCTGTCAACTTAGCACCCGGTTTGCTGGGTATTATCTGCTTGTTAATACGGAGCATTAGCTCAACACCCTCCTTTTAGTTATACAGTCTGAGGGATGTTCTTTCTACAAATATAAACGTTTGTGTAGTGGTTTTTGATTATTTGACGACTATAAAAGTTGTAATCTCAGCATGCCAAATTTTGCTAACTTTTAGATTTAAAGCTATTATTCATTCCTTGCTATATTTGTTTTATAACTTATAAGTCCTACACATATTGGGCATTTTAACAATCAGGGCTAATTAGTGAATCTTTAGCTGCACTTGTGTAGAAACTATTAAATACTAAAAACCTTTTCTTAAAATGTATTTCTATTTTTATTTGTATATTTTATTCCTATTTAATATTGTGTGATGTATACAAATAGAGTATCAATAGAGTTTGGATAGCCTGGTCTTAAATTTGAAATTCACTTAGAATTTTCACTTTAGTAACTAACCTTGAAATAAATGTTATTTATGGATGAATCTTGAATGATCTCTACACGAGTTGCATGTAGGGGATGCAATATTTTACAAAAGAAACATCACATGCTTCTCTTATTATTAGATCTTGAAATCAATATTTCCTTTCACCTTAAATCCATGGCATTATTGTTTGAAGTTGCTATATCCTAGTGCCCCAAAATACAGCAACAGAAAACACGAAAGTGACCTCATAATTGGTAAAGCAGAGTAGCTTAGTTTCTCCCGTGATACGAGAGGAAATTGCAACTTGGATTGATTCTCTTTTATCTTTTGTTTCAGTGATATTTTTAAAGAAAATACTCTGCTTCCTGCCATTACATGCACAGACGATACAAAATTATATATATATTGTTTAATGTAGTGGACATTGTGAGGCCTACTGTAATAGCAGTGATTGATGTACCATTTTGGTCCATTATATGCAGCAATATCCATAAATTACAATCTATATGAAAACTGTAATTTACAAAGGATGAGGCTAAATAGTTTTGTTTAGTTGTGTTTCAGCATGTATTATAAATACTGTATAAAAGATCTTCAGATGCCTTAAATACCCTAATTCCAAGATAACGTGTATATATATATATATATATATATATATATTTATGGTCTGAAACATATTAGTAATATATGTAAATCGAGTTAATACAAAGTTGTTTGGGGTGTGCCTTAACCAATGTACGGGTAGGCCCACCAATATTGAAGGTTTTAATAAAGGTATTAAAATAAAGCAAATGGGGTGAGGTGGATGGGATCACCTGAACAAGAACGGCCCAGGTAAGAGGGCAGTGGAAGTTTTTATAGCATAAGATAGATTTAAACTCCTCCCACAAATACAGGCCTATGGCCTTAAAACATATATATATATTTATATATATATATGGATACAACAGGAAATAAGCACTCGCTACACAGTGCAAAAAAGGAATGGGCAGCAGAGAATCTGTGAGACTTTCCAAAAATCTCACCAAGAGAACAAATAAAGGTAGACAGAGTGATAAACCGCGCCCTATAAAGTGAATATACAGTGCTGATAGTGCAAATGACAGAGGTATATATACTTATATATCTGACGACATCTGTGACTTCAAAGTATCTTGAAAAAAACAGAAAAGATATACACAAATAGTGCAATATGTAGCAGCAATATTTAATGTTAGGTAAAGTGTATAAAGTGCGCACTCACAATTAATTGACCTACTGAGAGCTCTGCTGATAATCGCCTGGACGGTACAATCCCCGTCTGTGGATATATGTGGATCTGCAGTTCTTATCCTCCAGTACACATGGGGAGACACAATAAAAAACTTTATGGTATAGTATGCACAAGCATAAATAAAAGAATAAAAAAGTGGTATCCTACTTACAATATCCAGAGCATGACTTGCTCTGGTCTGGAGAGCATTGGTGGTATTATATATATATATATATATATGTATATATATATATATATAGTCCAACCATTAATTACAATTGGAGATTAAGATTCCAGTAAATCAGATGCCTAAAAAGTATAATGGAGAAAAAAAATATGATTGCTATACACACATATAATAAGATATTGATTGCACTACGATAGCCTATGTGAATGGTAAAAAAGAATCATTATCTAAATGTCCAAATTATTTAAAGAGAATAACTTATACATTACACAAAAAATGAGTACGTGAATTTACATTTTGGCCTGCACAGAGGCCTTTGTCAACATGTCTGTTGACGGCTTGCAGCTTGTGAGTGTATTTTATGAAGTAGCATCACTGCATATTAAAGGAAAACAGCCACATGGAATGTACATTATACCCCAAACATGGCTAGCTGCTTGTAACACAGAGTGAGAAAGAACCCCAGGGTTTGAAATATAATTGAACCAAACATTATACAACAATCTTCTAAATGCCTTTTTAAGAATCCTTTTTCTTCAAATCTTTACTAACTGTGTACTTCTTCATAAGTATAAGAATTCGAGTTTTGGGCTCCACCAGTCCATGAAGCAATGCAGTAGCAGGTCATGACCTAATAAAACAATGTCTCTGAAGAACCAAAAAACTATAATAATAATAAGGGGTACTCCAGTCTAGAATGTACCTGTAGTATATATAATGCATTAAAGTAACCTGCCCACCTCCATAACAACTTCATCTCAATTACGTTATTATGGGGTAGGAATGCCTGGGTACCACCTTGAACAATTTAAACCTAAATTCAGTCCCTTACTCCAGGAAGGTTTGCTGGCAGCCAGTGACAGATTGAGAGCTTCACTGGCTGCCCATAACAAGTACAAGTAAAGTACAGACTACTATGGAGGTATAGTAGTCATGTAGCTTAGAGTGTCCTCCTAATATTTCTTTCTATATCATTTGAGCTAGATACATTAGCAATATACTCTTTTTGTTGATTTTTATTTTATTTGACACTGATTTTATTTTAAAAATGTTGGGTGCTTTAAATTTAGCTTGAAGTGGAGTGTGCTAGAGTGTATTATATTATTATATTGTAAATGTAAAAAGCAGATACAATTCGTATCTTTTAATACCTTTTTATTGGACTAACAAAAATTTTTAACGCCAAGCTTTCGGGAGAACCTCCCTTTCATAAGTCTAAAGCATTTCTGAGCAAGACGACACATAGAATTCAAAGTTGAGTTGTGATACAGGGGTTAAAGTGACATGGTGCAGATAAGACACAGGTTTGTTAGAAAATAGACACCATTCTTGCAGAGGGTCGTAAATATCTTGTGTGAAGATCACAGAGTGAGGGGGGAGAGAGAGAAAAAAAACCAAGCAAACAGTGCAGTGCTGGATATCGGCCTTCATGAATATCCTGTAACTCTTGAATGGGAATTCATGCATTCTTAATATAAGTAATTATTTTTTCCCCTCTCCTATTCTAGCACCATCGTCTGCACTGTTTGCTTGTTTTTTTTTCTCTCTCTCTCCCCCCTCACTCTGAGATCTTCACACAAGATATTTACGACCCTCTGCAAGAATGGTGTCTATTTTCAATCAAACCTGTGTCTTACCTGCACTCATGTCACTTTAACCCCTGTATCACAACTCAACTTTGAATTCGATGTGTCCTCTTGCTCGGAAATGCTTTAGACTTGAGAAAGGAAGGTTCTCCTGAAAGCTTGTCATCAAAAAATTCTGTGAGTCCAATAAAAAGATATTACAAGATACAAATTTTACATCTACATCTACATCACTGGACTAAAACGGCTACAATTTCTACTTGAATACTAAGGTGTATATGTATGTACATACATATACACAGATGATCAAAGAAAATTACAATTTCTATAACAAAAGGGCTAATTATTGAATCTAAAAGCTTCTAATTTTTTAGTCGTGCATATTTACAAGATTTTTCTTTTTTTACATTGTTGGTCTGTTTTTTCTGTTTTAGTAGTAAGAACACTTACTTATTATGTTCCATTTACAAAAACAATGTGCTATTTTACCATGCTTTACATAATTGTTTCCTATTAACTAATATGTATATAGTTAAATATAAATAGTAGGCTATGAAAGGGGTAATCACTTGTATCGGTGGCCACTTGCCTTTTCGATTCAAGATTTAGGTAATTTTTCTACGTACATTAAGATTCTCCAAGACAGAGCTAACTATAGGGTATGATGTATACTTTCACATGCCTTATTTGTTATTTAAAGGTAAACTTAAGTAGGACCCCTAGTGGCTGGAATAAATATTGACAAGAACTTGAGAGCTCACCGTTTGTTATGCATACTTACATGTTCACGACATCTAAATAGAAGTCAACCAATCTCCAACAAAAGTTGGAAAGATAAATTATACTTGATATATGAAGTGTATGTTACTATATAGGGAATAGATCAGTAAAATGTCTAAATATTTCACAGTCCCAGCTGTCCTGCCTATTTGTTTAACAAGTAACAGTGCTACTACCACAAATACTTTTCAACTATTAATTCCACACACAAACCTTATCACATTTAACTATACATTTAACACTCTTTTCTTTATTTTTTATTGTTTTTTGTTCCCAAATAAAGCTTTTAGTATAAAGACAATTGAGGTGCACTATTAGATGCTTGTCCTTAATAGTGGGGTCTGAACAGACATGCTTAATTAGACGTCCTCAAATCGTACCACTCAACGCTGATTGCCATAAGTCTGTACCTCCTTCCCCATGTAACCTCACTAAAAAGAGTAACCCTCTCATAAAAACAAAGGTCACATACCCCTCTAATTATTGATCTAGGATACTATTGTATATAAAATTGCCAAAATAATGTCAGGGATGTTCAATAGAAGAACTATGGGAACATTATTTAATTGTATCGACCACTCAGTTAAAAAAAAAGCTATGTTTTTATGTCATCTTGAAGGTAGGTGTAATGAATTTTGCAAGTCCAGTGATCTTCTGTTTTAAAGGGCTAGTGATTTAGAAAACTGAGAGCCTACAAGGTCATGCATATCTGACAGTGGAATATGATTTCAATTCTTTCATTTCCAAGAGAGTGATTTGAAATTGCATGTCACTCAGTACAAACACCCTTACATTCTTCAGTGCTAATCCATGGTCTCTTTCTTTAGATGATTCATGTATTTATCTGTGCACGTGTGTATGTCCTTGTCTCTTTTAAGCTTTTAATAATCCGGGAGGCGGTCATAAACCTGATAGCCGTCTTGGGCGAGAGTGCCACTCTTGGTCTGTGAAAGCCATGGAGAAAAAAAAATTATTAATAAAATAAAAACTTCATAGCAGCACCAGGGTTAAAATACTAAATGTGACAGGTTACCGTGACAACCTCAGAAATGGAAACTGCAATTAGGCATAATCTAACAATCATGCATGAATCCTCCTGATACATTCCACCCTGTTATTGCTCTATCCTCAGGAGCAAAAGATTCTTACAAGCTCAATTAGGTTTTAATCACTAGTTGAGGTATAGAAGCCTTAAATTAAAGTTTATGGGTGAGCGATTTTTTCACGGGTCTTATCATCTGAAACCTCCTGCTTTCTAGTTTCTCAGCTGGCGGCTGGCTGTTGATATGCAGTCTTAAGGACTAGTATCCCCAAAAGCTTGCAGTTTGGGACCAAAGTTGTCGGCTTAATAAATGGAAAGATTTCAATCAGCTTCAAGTTATCATTTTAAATTTTTATATATACTTTAAAAATACACTTGCTATTTTATATATATATATATATATATATATATATATATATACATACTTTTTAAAGATTTTTGAACCGTTGTTATTGTCTCTTGTCCACAGGGGTAGCTAACATTGGCACTCCAGATGTTTTGGACTACATATCCCATAATGTATCCTGGCAAAGCATTAGTGGAGAAGTAGAAATCCATATCTGAAGTGCCAAAGGTTGATGATCAAGCCAGATGCAGTCATTACCACGTACCATTTAATTATGAACAGGATTTTTTTCTTTTAGCTGAGTGTGAGTGCACTTTACTACTGTGACCTCCAGGTGATACATATATATATAAGAGCTCCATACCACATGAAAAGTAGATTGTACCACCTTTAAATCTCTCAATAACATCTATCCTAATGTTCCAGTACTGATCCTATTCTAACTTAAAGGACCACTATAGGCACCCAGACCACTTCAGCTTAATGAAGTGGTCTGGGTGCCAGGTCCAGCTAAGTTTAACCCTTTTTGCTGTAAACATAATCCAGCCTCTAGTGGCTGTATCATTGATTTTCACAGTGAGAATGCTTTCCTATGGACTGGCTGAATGCATGCGTGGCTCTTGACACGCATGCGAATTCAGCCAGGGACGTCAGAAGAGGAAGGAGAGTCCCAGCGCCGAGGGAGCCCGGTGCTGGAAAAAAAGGTAAGGGATTAACCCCTTCCTCCCCCCTCAGCGCCATGGGAGTGGGACCCTGAGGTTGGGGGCACCCTCAGGGCACTATAGTGCCAGGAAAACAAGCTTGTTTTCCTGGCACTATAGTGGTCATTTAATTTCTGCATGTTGCTAAAACTATTATTTCTGCCTACTTCTTCAGTTCTTCTTTGCCTCCAAGCTGGAGTTTAGTCACACTCTATAAATGTCAAAAAGAAAGTCTGTGTCTAACCTCAACGTCAAAACTGTTAGTAACAAAACATTCATTATTAGTTTACATGTGGAGATACTGTGGTCAGGCACTGCCATCTGTGGTTATGATGTATTCTTCTTTCATTATTAACTGTATCTGGTTATTGTGTTTTTGGTGTGGAGGGGAGTGACAGTGTGGTGACGGATGACAATGTGTGGGAATGTGACAGTGTGAGGGGAGGCTGACATTGTGTGAGAGTATGGTGACACTGCATTGTAGTGGGTGACAGTGTGTATAAAAGGGAGTGACTGTGTGTGAGGGGGTGATCCGGTGAGGGAGAGGGTGATACTGTGAGGGACAGTGGGGTGATCGTGTGTGGGACAAAGGGACGATAGTGTGTGGGAGGGGGGTAATACTGTGAGGGACAGTGGGGTGATCGTGTGTGGGACAAAGGGGCGATAGTATGTGGGAGGGGGGTGATACTGTGAGGATGGGGATGATCATGTGTGGGAGGGGTAATACTGTGAGGGAGGGAGTAATACTGTGAGGGAGGGAGGATACTATGAGGGAGGATACTGTGAGGAGGGAGGATACTATGAGGGAGGGGGGTAATGCTGTGAGGGAGGGGGGTGATACGGTGAGGGACAGGGGGATACTGTGAGGGGGTATACTGGGAGGGAGTGGGGTGATAGTGTGAGGGAGTAGGGATACTGGGAGGTAGGGGGGTGATAGTGTAAGGGAGAGGGTAATACTGAAAGGGAGGGGGTAATACTGCGAGGGGTGATACTGGGAGGGAGTGGGGTGGTGAGGGGGGATGTGTGAGGGAGGGGGATTGGGAGAGAGGAGTGGGGGGAGGGGTTACTGGGAAGAGGTGTGACCTGGGAGGGGTGATGGAGGGGTGGGAGGGGAAGGGGTGGAGGGGGTTACTGGGGGAGGGGGGGTTACTGGGAGGGGGATACTGGGTGATAAAGAAGGGGGTTACTGGGAGGGGTAATAGTGATGGGGGCTGCAGGGAGGTAGGGGGTATTTTGGGAGGGGGTATACTGAGAAGGAAGGGGTATTTGGAAAGGGGTATACTGGGAGGGAGGGGGTATATTGGGAGGGAGTATACTGGAAGGGAGGGGGTATACTGGGAGGGGGTGATAGTGATGGGGGTTACTGGGAGGTAGGGGATATATTGGGAGGGGGTATACTGGGTAGGAGGGGGTATTTGGGAAAGGGTATACTGGGAGGGAGGGGGTATATTGGTAGGGGGTATACTTGGAGGGGGTATACTGGGAGGGAGGGAGTATATAGGTAGGGGGTATACTGGGACTTAAGGTATTTAGTCCCCCCCTCATTCCCTGGTGGTCTGGTGGTGATGTCTGGTCTGCAGCTTCGCGCAGTGTACAGAGCTGTCTTGCGAGACCCGGTCATAGCGTTGCCGTGGTAACGCTCTGATTGGCCAGATCTCGTCTGACACATTGCGTGGAGGTGCAGACCAGGGGCTACAGGCAGCCTGGAGGGGCCTCACACCCAGCGGCATACATTGACTGAGGACCTGACACAGTCTGCCATAAGGCGGTTTAGGCGGCTGCGAGGCCCCAGCCAGAGCGAGGCCTTAGGCCGCTGCCTAAACCGCCTAATTAAAGAGCCGCCTTATCACACTTTTTCGAGAGAGTTATGCTATAGCCCGCTAGACCAACATTTGCACAGTACTGAAAATTTAATTCCCAATGGATACTTTGTGTATACATTTTGCATGTTTAAATAACTTTTAGAAAGTGAGAACGAGGAGACCTTTTTATTAACCACTAAAGCAAGCTGAAGTGCATGAAAGGTTTTAAGCATTCCAAATATATAAAGAAAATTCCAAATATATGTATTTTCAAAAGAATATATGTTTTTAAAAATAATATGTCTTTTAAAATGTATATTAATTTCACAATAATTTATCCATGCACTAGTTTTATTTTTTATTTTTATGAGGCACATTTTTATTGACATTGGGCCTCCCACACTCTGCTTGCCCCATATTTCCATATTCACCAAAAATAAAAGAAAATGCCCCATTTCACCTATTAGTTATTGATCACCGAAAATTTATAGGTAGTAGAATTTGCAGTTGTTGCCACCAATAAGTGTTATCCCAAATTCAGAAGATTTTTGCAAATTAAATTCTGGTAAACTGAGCATTTGAAAACAATGCTTCGTGGATACATTAAAACACAAATATAATACTTTTTTTAAATTCTTTATTTTGTTCGTGCAAGTGGATAACAAGCATGTTTGCTCTGCCACAATAGCTGAAGCAAACTAGGCGGTACACATAGAAAAACTACATTATGGCATTAAAGGCATTGCACATTTTTTAGATTAGGTAATCAGGTAAAACATGTATGGCTTAATATTGTGAGGTGCGTGGTTATTGCTTAGCTCATTTAGTGGTTGATCATACATAGCAGACTTCGTTTAACGACACATCCTAGCTAACGACTATGATGTTTGCACAGGGCCGTCTATAATATGATTAGGACCCTGGGCAATGCATTTTCTTGGGCCCCATGGGCCCTGTCCCTGCCACTGCCTCACCCCCCAATTACGTCCAACCCGCAATCACACTGACAGACGTACTGGCACATACACACACAGACAGACATTAAAACATTCACAGATACATACTGACACACAAAGTCACTACACACAAATATATACTGGCAGACATACTGACACACACACAGACATACATACATACACAGACACATACATTAACAGATATACTGACACACACACAAACACATACACTGACAGATATACTAAAACACACAGACACATACACTGACAGATATACTAAAACACACAGACACATACACTGACAGACACATTGACACACACACACAGGCATACTGACATACACACTGACACACACACACAGGCATACTGACATATACACAGACAGACGTAATGGCTGATACAGACAGACATTAAACATTCACAGATATATACTGACACACACATACACTGACATACAAATATATCCTGGCAGACATACTGACACACACACACACACACACAGACATACATACATACACACACAGACACATACACTGACAGACATACTGACACACACACACACAGACATACTGGCATACACACAGACATACTGACACACACACACACACACAGACATACTGACACACACACACAGACATACTGGCATACATTTAGCCACCCTCCAGGTTCTTACCTTTTCCTGGAGGGTGGTTTCCCTGGTCCAGTGGCAGGCTGAGGCAGATGGGAGTTCTCCTCTGGAACTCCCCTCCTCCCTGCCTTCCTCCTCCCGCGCGGCTAT